AGATCCTTCTCTGCCTCTGCACTGATGAGAAGGGAGTTCCCCAGCCTGTAGGTGTGCTGCTGGCTCTTCCCCCCCAGGTGCAGCACCTTGCACTTGTCAGTGTTGAAACCCATCCTGTTCTTATCCGCCCACCCCTGTAACCTGTCCAGGTCTGATTGCAGCCTATTCCTCCCTTCTAGCGTGCCCACTTCCCCCACATGTTAGTGTTGTCTGCGAATTTGAACAGGGTGCTTTTTACCCCCTCGTCCAAGTCGCTGATGAAGATGTTGAACAGTGCGGGTCCAAGGACCGAGCCCTGGGGGATCCCACTGCCCACGTCCCTCCAGGTCGAAAATGACCCATTCACCACCACTCTCTGGGTGCGGCCCTCCAGCCAGCTAGCGACCCGTCTGACTGTGTAGGTGTCGACGCAACAGTCCCCTAGTTTTTTAATGAGAATGGGGTGAGAGACAGTGTCGAAGGCCTTCCTGAAGTCCAGAAAGACTATATCCACTGCTACCCCTGCATCTAAGGATTTTGTGACCTGGTCGTAGAAGGCACCAGGTTGGTCCGACAGGACCTGCCTCGAATGAACCCGTGTTGGTTGCCCCTAAGCATAACCTCCCCTGCTGGTCCCTCGCGGACATACGCCAGGATAATGCTCTCAAAAAGCTTACCCAGGATTGAGGTAAGACTAATGGACCTATAGTTTCTGGGTCCTCCTTCCTCCCTTTTTTGAAAATGGGAACCACATTGGCCCTTTTAATATGGGCGCCCACAACGTTCTTGCAGGCAAGCAAAGGAAGTCCAGGTCGGGTGCATGGACTGTAAGGTGGACAGAGAACTGGCTGAACCATCTGGTTCAGAGGGTAGTAATCAATGGCGCAAGGTCTACTTGGCAGCCAGTATCTGGTGGCATGCCCGAGGGATCGGCCCTGGCACTGGTTTTGTTCAGTGTCGTCACCAATGACCTGGAAGATGGGATGGAGTTCACCATCAGCAGGTTTGCAGATGACACTAAGCTGGGGGGAGCAGTAGATACACTGGAGGGCAGGGCTAGGATTCAGAGCAACCTCAACAAATTGGAGGACTGGACAATAAGAAATCTCACAAGGTTCAATACGAACATGTGCAAAGTCCTGCACTTGGGATGAAGCAATCCCATGCACCAGGCCAGGCTGGGGGTGACTGGCTGGGCAGCAGCTCTGCAGAAAGGGAGCCGGTGGGACAGTGGACAAGAAGCTGAACAGGAGCCAGCACCATGCCCTTGTTGCCAGGACGGCTATGATTCTGTATGGGGGCAACAACCAAGCATCGGTGATTATTTCCTTGCTGAGGTCCCCTACTTTCCTTCCAACTGCCTGACATGTCCTGGCAACAAACACTCGGCCTGCCAAACTAGATTCTTGGCTCTGTGTTTTTAACTCTCCACCCCATCCTAATCCAAGAGGGCAAGAAGCATAGCCTACCTGTGATCTATTTTGAGAGAAGCTCACAGGTGTGGTGCACTAGGTGCATCCTTCGCAGTAATTACCAGTTCCCAGGTATTTATGATCCATTCCAATGAAACGTCAAGATTAGATCAGCCCTTGATGTCTAATTGCAATCACATCCCAGGAAGAGATTAAATGGTAGATTTCCAAGGTAAACTACAGTGGAGCAATCAAGACAGAAACCTGTCTTACTGCACAGTACAACTGCTGGACTTGAACTTGGCAAAGACAAATAATGTCTTGCCCTGGTTGGGTGCCAGGGCGCTCTGCTCTCCGTCTTGACTTGTAATTAGTTCCCTGCCTACGTAGGTTTCTCTCTCTCCTGCCTTTCCAGTGAACAGTTACCTTTGGTTAGAATCACAGAAAACGAGGGTTGAAGGGATCTCCAGAGGTCACATCTAGTCCAACCCCCTTGTTCAAAGCAGGACCAGCCCCAAATAGATCATTCCTGCCAGGGCTTTGTCTAGGGTGGCCTTAAAAACCTCCAAAGATGGAGACTTCACCACCTTTCTAGGTAACCTGTTCCAGTGCTTCACTAGCCGCCTACTGAGAAAGTTCTTCCTAATATTCAGCCTCATCTTCCCTCGCTGCAACTTGAGCCCATTGCTCCTTCTTCTGTCATCTGCCACCACTGAGAACAGTCTAGAGCTCCATGGGATTTGGGAATCACTTTCCCTTGGTTCTGTTTTAAAACCCCCTTCCCTAGGTCCCAGGGGGTGGTGATATCTATCGCCACATGCCAGGACATTCAGTGAGTCTGGATTGTCCTTGGAAAACCTATTGTACAGTAGTAGGATTAGCTGTGAGCACTTTACCTCTAGTAGCTGCACACTTTCCATTGTACCCACCTGCTTCCAGAAGCTCTTGTCAAGGCAGCTCCTTTGCTGGGCTGCAATTTTTGTAATTAAGAAGCTCTGGGTGATCCATAGCCGGCTGCAGAACTCCATTAGCTTTGCCTTTCAAGCCGCTTTAATTGCGAAGAGAAATATTATAATAGACGATGACTGCTGAGGGGTCTGCTGAAGTGCCAACTGACAGCACTTATGTGGAGGGTTCTGCTCCTCCACACACTTCCACTGGAGGAAGAGTCACTGGCACCAGTCCCCCAGGTCTGAGCGGTGATGCCGCTGGTGGCTACCTCACCTGTGACTCTCCTTGCCCTCTAAGGATCCTCTGCTTCTGCTTTCCTGCCATGCCTTGATGTAAACGTGCACTTGTGACACAGAAGGCTGCCCCAGAGACTGACCAGGTCTCATACTAATTAGCACAGGGTGGCACTAGTTGTTGCCTTAAGGGCAGAATACGTGGCCTCATCACCCCTTTTAGCCATGCCTGAGCCTCACAGGTGTTATCAGTTCACCAGTTATCAATCACCAGACCCCTCCAGGCTGCAGGTTCCCTGGCCCCTACCAATTTCTGTTCTTTTTCTAGGCCTGTGACCCTCTCCCTGAGCCTTGGCCCCACTCCTGGGCCAGTTGAAATGCCCACCTCCCCTCCAGTCTCAATCCCAAAACCTCACTGCTATCCCAGCCCTAAGGCTTCCTGCACATATGTTGTACCCCATCCCTATGGCTGTATTCCCATGGGCATCCCTGCTGTGAGCCGAAGTCCCTTTCCATGTACCTTGCTCAGGAGCTCTTCCTCCTGGGTTGGACTTCCCACCTCAGCTCAGGCTCTGGGTTGAGATCCTCCCTAAGCCTAACCCCTTGCTGGTCAGGTGACTTCCCCGATTGCTGCCTGAGCTTCCTCAGCCGCCTTTCCTCCTCTTAAAATATCAAGTGCCCTAAGCGCCCCATTACAGACAGTTAGGACCGCACAGTCAAGAGGTTGCAAGTGA